CATGTTCTTCTAGGTAGGACATAAGTCATCACTGTGTGTGCTACTGCCTCAACTCCACAGTTCCCTCTGAACTGGTAAGCAGAAAACCTATTTTGGGACAGATAATGTAAGCAGGAGAACCCACAAGGAACAACTGGGAACCACTCACAACAATCTCGAGCTCTACCAACATTTATCTCAATGTGCTCCAGCTTCTACACACAATCTCTGTTCTGTTCATAGGGTTTCCCTTGACCACAGTCATTCACTCATTTCCCATGTACTCAGACACTAGCTATCGACAAATTTCCTTTGAACCATGAGAAGTCAGTGGAGATGGAAAATATTCATAGTGTTCTGAGGACACAGCTGCTATTAGAGTACATGTAGTATAAGATTTCATATATTCTCTAGTTCTATTTCCTTGTCATCTAGGTTTCTCAAGTGACCTTTTATAAATCACAGACACATACAGGACAGTCAGGCTTTACTAAGGTTGCAAATCAGGATGCAACAACTGCTTAAAGTATTATGTCAATTATTCTAAGCTCACATCTATATAAATTTAACACTGGCTGGCAAACCAGTATATAAACTGATGTCTAATGTAAAGAAAACTAACAACAACAACAAAATAGTTGCTCACCCCAGGGTAAAGCTCTCTGACATTTCTTACCTGAGCACTTGGTCCAGGTGACCATTCAGGAAGAAGACTTCATTCAAATAGAGATGCTGGAGCTTATTCAGTTTGGAGAACTGGGAAAAGATCTCTGTAAAACAGCAGGCTTCCCTCTCTTGGTCCTGAGGCAAATTCACGGGTACATCGATTTCGTTGAAAATGAGTGTCTGGAGGTTTTTCATCTGGCCCAGGACAGGGGCTAGCAATGCAAGGGTGCGAATGTCACAGCCTGTGTTTATTTCCAATTCCTGGATTGAGCCTGTATCAAAAACCTCCAAAATATCCAGTGGGTCATAGGCAGGAAACTCTCCAAACTCTAACTTCTGACAGATCACCTGTATCACTTCTTTCCTCTGCTTGGCCCACTGATAAAAATATTTTACTTGTTTGGAGGGACAGTGGGACATGTGGAAACAATTCATCAATATAGTCATGGTCTGTTTCCCACCTAGGATTGGATGATTTCCCACTGCCTGGTTGTGGTCTGTGACATCTGGAGAGCAAATGATATGCTGTCTTCCAGCCCAACCATACCAGAAGTCATGGTGGGCATTTCGAAAATCAAGCACTTGTAGTTTCCTCCTCCTGTTAGTAAAGTAGAAGGACATTAGTATGACAGAAGACACAGTGTGTAGTCAGCATGCCCCATAATTCAACTTCTCTTAAATCCGTTCTTAGAACAGAGACAGCTTACATTTCTAGTGCCTGGGCAAGAGGCAGGAACAGATTCATTGCATATTGAGCCTTTCTGTTCTCACCTGTCTGACATACACCACTGTCCTGTTTCTTCATTTCCCTTCTAGAAGATACTGACACCTACAATCAGAATCCTCTGATTTACCTTGGCCCCCTTTATGAATACAGTATTCATTTCCATCCATAGAAATATCAGCCCCCACCCTATGCTACCAAGATCTTTATTACTTACCTAGGTTGATCCTTTTGTGCCATCAGCAAATCAAGGCCATCAAGCAGAGCTTTCAAGGTCTCCAGGTCAGGAGATTCCATCAGGGCTCCCACAGGAAGGCATGGGAAGGGCCAGGCTGCCACCATCTTCCTCAGGATGTTAGGCTGTTTGCTCGTAAATGCATCCTTGAAGAGTGGTGGGAAGAGTTCCATGGGCAGGTCCTCTAGAGTTGAGATGGCCAAGTCTTCGTCTTTCAGCAGGCTTCTTCTTGCCAGCTGCTGGAGTGTTGGTGGGTCTCTGAAACTCATCATGACTTTCAGGTATGCTGATGCTAAGGAAATAGCCAAAGAAAGAAAATATTTCATTCGTAACTCTTTGAGTAAGCCTTTCACACGTCACTCCCATTAATTACAAAAACCAGGCAGAGGACCAATCCCTGGCCTGGTGACATTGCCAACCCTGTAATTCAGACTATGGGATATCTGTTTTTCTCATTGCCACAGTACCTTCATGGTCCTCCTGGAAATATATAAGCACACATTTAAATACATCTTCCCTGATATTCTGCACAAATTGATACAGTGTTCCCTGTGCGTCCTACTCTATGCTGTAACAGGAGACTCACACATAAATCTTTCACTTTTCTGGGAAACAGAAAAAGTTTCCCAGAAAAAAGTTATGGTTTTACTACAATCTATGGAACAATATATTTTATAAAATGGATCACATTTTACTTCTATTATATTTAGAAGCATGAGGCATGCTAAGCTTTATACTGTTCTTTAAAGGATTGAATGCAGTGAGGCCCTGAGCAGAACTTTTATCAAAGCTTCTTACATTCTTCCCACCACCTTTCCTCCCACCTTCATCACACCTCAGGAACCTGAACCGTTCAGGTCATCTTCCCTTTCCACCATCTTATCTGCTCATTGAGTCCTCTCAGGCCTTCTAATCTGCCCTTAGCACCCTGTCTTCCCTCTGGATATGCAATCTCCTGCCACCTTCAGCAGACCTGTGTCTCAGAAACCACACAAGTAAGCTTTCATTCCCTCTCCTACCTTCCCTGCTCACCAAGACCTCTTTGTCATGTCAAGCTACCTAGAGCATCCTTTTATCTCAGGGGACCCTCAATTATCTCAGCCCCTCCCCCCACACTTTAAACAGACTTGTGGGTCCTGAACTATAAAGATAAGCCACTTTTTTTCTCTCCACATGATGAGTACTCTGGGGCAAGTTAAGCTGGCCTAAGTAGAGGGCTATCTCAATGGAATGTACATTCTCTGGTGACCTCAAATTCTCTCTCTCAAGGCACTAAGACACCTGTTCAACTATGTTTATAGCAGCTTTACATTTACAGTCACAAACAGGAATCAACCAAAGATGGTCACAGCTGTAGACTGACAAAGACATTGTGGTAAATCTACACAATGGAATATTATTCAGCTTTTAAATACAAAGACAGAATAAACTGTGCAGGCTAATGAATGGCATAGAAGAATATACTACTGAGTAAGATAACCCAGTCAGAAAAGGATATGAAAGGTATATTCTCACTAAAAAGTGGATATTAGACTCAATATACAGGATAAGCATGTTATACTCTATAGACCCAAAGAAGCTAAACAAGAAGGAAGGAACAAGTGAGGATGCTTGAATCTCACACAGAAGGAGGATAAAATACTCATAAGAGGCAGATGGTAGGAGGAAATGGTGGGGGAGAGGAGATGGTGAGGATAATGCTTGGTGTCAGGATCAAATTTGGGCAGAGACAGAGAAGATGAAAGATAGCCATGAGAGTGAATGAAATCTCAGATGACTAGCATGGGAAGTTGGGGATACCTTCAGGATCATATCTAAACTGATGTAAGGCAGGTGCCCAATAATATATGGGGTTGACCTTAGCTGTTACTCTCAGCTTAGGGGAAATTGAACCTTAAGTAGTCACCTACTTTAGCCAAGCAGAAACTCCAGTAGAGCAAGAGGAACACTAACCCCACAACAGAAACATGACTAAAAATTTATCGTGTGCACAAGAAATGCCAGGATGTTACATGGGACCGAGACTGAAGGAATAGGGAAATAACAAGGATCCCAACAAGAGACCATTCCCATGGACAAGCACCAATTCCTGACATTGTTAATGATACTGTGTTATGCTTGCAGACATAAGGCTAGAATTCCTATTCTCTGAGGGTCTCTACCCAGCAGCTGCCTCAGAGACTTACAGACAAACAGTGAATGGATCTTGGGGACTCTTAGGGAAGAACAGGGGGTAGGTCTGCAGGCCTCGAAAGGGATAGGAATTGCACAGGAAGATTAACACTGCCAAGTAAAGTAGACACTTGGGGTTCTCAGAGACTGAACCACCATCGAAGGAACATATAGAGACAGGACCTAGGGCTCCCCACATATAGGTAGCTTTAATGCAGCTTGGTTCCACATAGGTCCAAGCAATGGTTAAGCTGTCTATCTCAAAGGCAGGTGCCCATATGTGTGATATATTCTTTTAGCTGCTCTGACTTGTGGACCACAGCAGTCAAAGAAGCCCCAAATCTCACAGACTTGATGTGATACGGTTGGGAGTTACCCAGGAAGGGCCCATCCAGTCACAGCAGAAAGCTAGGTGTGGGGGAAGGATTGAGGGAGGGATTAGTGAGTAGGAGTTACAAAGTACTAATCAATGAATCAATTAATCAAAAAAAATAGAATGCTTAAAATTGTCAGTTTGACAATTTACAAGAACTCATACTCAGGTGTTCTTCCATATAGAATTTTCTTCCTTGTCATTTCATAAATGTATATTCACTTTGAATTACAATTTTTGTAAGGTTGATTAGAGGAGATTAGGACATGAGGTGTTTGTTCAGTGTGCCTGAGTCCTGGAATATAGCCTCCTTAATCCACTGTACACAAGCAGGGCAGGGCAGCCTCAGGAGGTAGAGACTGAACATTTAGTGTTTCATGGCACTTGGCTACATATGGACTTCTGGCTGTCCTAGGCTAAATGAGGTTG